CAGACACACCCTATCCCGAACAGACAGGACACGCACATCTCCTGGTGAACAGGTAAGTCTTCTGACAATGCCCTTTGCTTTAGATTTGGATGTGCCCGTTGATAGAGAACTTGACCTTTGACCTGCTTTCACGTTTCTGAGCCCTGGCGAGATACCCTTTCACGCTGCTTTTCTTTTACAAGGCCTGAGGCCTGCATCGGGTAAAGGCCCTTTTACTACTCTAAACGTTGGACCAACCCAATTCTTTACAACAGGTCCAATATCCCTTATATAAGGGATCCTGTCAACCTGATACGACGAAGCACACCATAACAATTTGACGAAGATGTAGGTGGTTTAGTAATCAGAATAAGAGGGAGGACAGCTTCTTCCTTCCACCAAAGATGAGTGGACATACACAGTATCTTCCTCGTTTGATTGCATCCGCAATCGGCTGCATCCTCCAATCCACACATCGCATTTCCCGGTGAAATTCCTTACCCTTTTCTTTGTTGATGAAATTGTCCTGTGGTCGTCCATCCATAGTGAACGAGGGGTCAGGCGACAAAATTACCTTACCCTGTACAAGTTGCTGATGCACTTCTGAATCTGATTGACCTTTCTGAAGAGTTCTGAAACCAGAAGAACCCACAGAAAAACTTCTCTCTCCATGTCTATATGAGGGGTCCACTGTTCGTCTTCGATTTTTCCTCTTCGACTCCTCCTTCCTATCTTTATGCTCATCACTGTCCTCTGGTTCCTGATAGTTGACGAATCGTACCTTTCGAAGTGCATAACGGACCTGTCCCGATGAAATAGCACCACAAGATCTTGTGTGAAACTCAACTGGAGTAATATCCTGAGATTGCATAGGAGTTGTCGGAGCAGACACAATAGGCTGAAGGAAAATCTGTGAACCTTGATCCTCCTGAAGAATTTCCTCATATAGAGAGGCCTTTGTGATGCCATCTGAACTTGTGCGTCGACAACGTTTCAATGATTGCTTCCTTGATGAAAACTGCAACGTTTTTCCGGTTAATCCTGCCAGTTGATTCCTCTGTTTTTTCAATAAAACAGACATTGCTCGGGCAACAGGACGTGATGGAGTACACCTTCTTTGCGCATGATGAAAGAAGGGGATCGAGGACGTCGTAGAAGTCACAGCCTCATGCCCTTGCTGGTGCCGCAGCTGAGGCAATCACATTGGTTAGGATTCCCTAAGAGGATCAAACTTCTGACGTACCCGTCTCGGAGGAGATGAATGAGCAAACATCATGAGACAATTCTTTCTATACTTCGTCGAGATGGAAAATTACGAATCTGCTTTCGTGAATGAGGATCAGGCGACGCACAAATCTGCTGGCTGTCAGTTCTGTTAATATATCCTTGTGCATCATCATTCTCATGAGATGAAGAACCATCACTAGACAGTGATTTCGAACTTTGTACCCCAACATCTATCTCCTTCCCCTCAGTTTTCACAAACCGGCATTGCCCCTCCTCCTCCTCTTCCCTTCCTTGCTTGCTAAACTCCAGTGGGTCCAGCAAAGTCCGCTTTCCCTCTTCCCATTTCCTCTCACTACTAATATCCTTTACCTGCACATCTTCACTTAGCCCCTGGTCATTTTTATCATCATTCCCCCCTATTCTGCAGTCACCCTGGTCAACCTGTACAGGTGTTATGAACTTGGTTGTTTGACAATTTGATTGCCACTCACACACAGAAGAACTCACACACGCCCATACATGCACGAGACACAGGGGAGGAAGAGACAGAGTCCACCTGCACACAGACCAGGGATAAACAGCGGAATAACAACCATGCACAGATGGGGAGAATACAGTGTTCTCTCTCTCTGATGAACTCCCAACAACCAATCACAGGATGACACTGCGAAGATCACAATTGGAAAGTAACCCAGATGATGAGCCAAC